GTTAAAGTGACTCGTCGCGTGCGAGATACACACGGAGAGAGAGAGAGAGAGAGAGAGAGAGAGAGAGAGAGAGAGAGAGAGAGAGAGAGACTCGACCAGGATCTGAACCTACAACGCCCGAGTCACCTTGATCCCTGTGCAGACAACCCGTCCGGGAGCGTCCTCCCGTGTCTCCTCCTTGTACAGCATGGACACGGACGTCTCCAGAGCCCCCGCCCCGCCATCTGCGAGCGCGCAACCCGAGTGATTGTCGCAGTTCTTTCGATTCCCTTTGACGATGCCGCGGGTGCCGTTTCTTTCGTGCCTACCACGCGGCACGTGGGCTCTCGGACACGACGACACAGACACTGTAAACATTTTCTGTTATTTTACAAACAGATTTAATGACCAAAATATCTGAGTGTCTGATGAAATGCCTGTTTAATTAAATATTGGACACATTTTCATATTTTCTACATTACGATATCTTCGAAAATATTGATAAATTATGCTCATCTTCACAACTTTTCCTTGTTTATCCCCCATATCCCATAGTTGACCGAACGATTTCCGTCAAAAATAACAGTTTTACAATTGTACGCTGCAAAGGTCACCCCGGTTCGGGAGCGATCGCACACTTTTTGAGAAGCGACACGACACGAGAGCGTTGCGCAATAACACGAAGCCTGTCCCCCTTGCGATTCCCCGAGTAGTCTTCTCAACTCTGCATTTCTACAATGTCGCTTTCGATAACTCCTTGATAATTCGCGGTATCATCACACGCGCGCGCAGGTCTGACTTTCTTTGTAACCGGCTATCGAGTTCGAGTTATTATTGCTTCTATAGCCCCGCTCTCCTCCCCTCTCACCTCGCCGCGCCGGCCGCCGGACAGACAAACAGATAAACAGCCGCTGTGAGAGAGCGGGAGAGCGAGAGAGCGAGAGGGCGGTATCCACCTATGGGCCACGCCTCTCCGCCGTTTCTTATCACGACCGGTCCAGCGGCAGGCGGACCCGCGTAACTCGCCGGGCTCCGTGGCCGAGATACGCGTGTCTGTCCGCATCAACGTTTAGCAGCCGACGGCGGCGCGGCGGTGCAGCCGCCAACCTGCCCAGCCTGGCCAAAACCTCGCGCCACCTCGAGCCAAATCTCCTTTTCAGTTAGGAAAAGAGAAATAACAAAAAATATCTACCCAATGACAATTGAAAGGGGTGATTACACCATAATAGGCTACCGCTGTTCGAAAATATTTTACGAAATTTTTCGTAATTTTCGTCTGTTCTGATGTAGAATTCTGACCGCTTCCCGCCAAATATTGACGACATCCAAATTTAGTAGTGAAAGAAAACTACTATGTATTGATTTTCTTTTAAAATTAGCGTTGCTTATGCTATCAGTTCGTATCTGTACTACTTTTTACACACGGAAAATGTTCCTAGATGCAGGTAGTTTTACAGCTACTTATTTTTTTACAGCGGCTGCATGATATATAACATAGGTATAACATGTGTTACCCACCCAAAGGGATACACATGTGTACACCTTGCAAGGTGTCGAGCTCATCTTTAAGCGCATGGCCTCACCCCAAGAATACCAGATCCGGCTCGCTCGGGGACTCGGTCGGGGGGAACCTTCTCGGTCGGAGTGAGTTTGTCTTGGGAGCCATACGGTCCTGCCGCCAGAGTGAGGCAATAAGCCTTTGGCTGTCGTCCCGCTTGGATCCTTCCCTCCCAGCTGATCGAGGGGCGAGCCGAGAGAGCCCGGCGCAACAAGCGGAAAGCGGAAACCGATAGAGACAGAGCTTGGGCTTTCCGCTCCGCCC